TTCTATGATTCTATGATTCTATGATGATTAAGGTACTCCTGGACGTTGGAGCACTACAGACTGAACAGCTTGGCTGGAGAGCCAGGAGTAAGGGCAGAGCTCTCAGGATGCCCCTGGATGAGAACAGCGCTCGGAAGCACCCTGGATACTTTCCTGCATCTATCCGCTTGTCTGTGTCAGCAGGAAATCTGTTTCTACTGATCTGGGAAACAACGACATAGCAAAGCTACAGAACTGACGTAGTGCTGCGTTGATTGACTTTTGTTCTATTAATGGATAATTACAATTATCTGGTTATTTCTCTTTTCTGAGAAGCAAACATGCCTCAGAGCTGCTAAGACATTGAGGCTTATTGACCCAGCCAGGCATGTGCTGGAGCTCCAGCCACCACGCACAGCGATGGTGAAGATACAGACGGGGGAAAGCAGCCAGGGGAAGGCAGAGCTGTGTGTGTCTGCTAGAGCTGCGGTGTCAGGACTGCTGCCCTGGCTTTGCAAAGAGTGCTGGCAGACAGTGGGAGCCAAGAGGCATTGCCTCGGTTGATTTCCTTGAACTGATAAGAAGATTGCTGCCGTGGGGTGGGGTGGTAGCTACCTTGCTGGAGCTGGTTCCATCCAGATTACTGGTAAAGAAGCGCGAAGTCACACCACATGAGAGAGTGTGGTAGCTGGGGTTGGAAAAGCAATGTACACTGCCGCTACCTTGAGATGTATCTGGGGAGAAAACAAGTCGTCACAAAATACCTTGGAAGCCATAACGATTCTTAAGAAACTGCAAACATGCCAGAGATGATCAGGTTTAGAAAACTGTGAGAGGACTGGGTGTCACAGAACATCTCCAGGTGAAGTCTGTCCTGCGTTATCATGACGTGAAGCTCTTGACTATTAGCATTAAATATGAGACAAAAAAGCAAAATATTTAATTAATACTGTGTTATCTTTTTGAAGATCTTAAAAAAGTAATTCCTGAGAGTCCAGCTGCTGGCAGGTAAGGGAAGAAATGCAAAACTCAGGAAAGGCATGGGCTGCGACCCAGCTTCTTCCTTTTAGTTTGTAAGAGCTACTGATGAGAGTAACCCTTGTAGTTGTGAAACAATTAATTACAACTTTTTTGTTATAAAAAAAGGTAGTTGATGTTAGAAATCAAGGTGCTATAACCGTGCCAAGGAGTCCAAAACATTTTACATAACTTTTTGTGCAAAGGCTTAGGAAAAAAGAAAGCTGCGGCACTGGAAGGCAAAGCTGGGCAGCCACATCGCTGTGCTCACAGACACTGTCTCTTGTTCCTCACTTTCACTTATGAACACATTAACCAAACAAAGTAATTTACCAAGAAAGGCATCATATTCATACTGTTAGTTCTAATGAAAACATCGATCCCAATCTGGTTCCAGCTTAATAACAAATTGATAAATATTTCCAAGTGCCATCAGAAGAAAGGATGAAAAATTTAAGCCGAAGCAGCAACATTTCAACAGCCAAGCCCTGTAAGAAGTAAATGAATGGGTTAGTTCTAATAAACCATGGCCTTAAATGCTAGGCAGAAAGGTTAGTTATAGGAAACACCGTCACATGGAAAGGGCAGTGAAGTGCTGAGGTGGCTGCTTGTTCCCAGCACCGGGGATCTTTAATGAAGTTTGGCAGCAGATGGCTGAGGAGGGACAGACCTGTCTGCAGAAGGGGGGCAACCAGCCCCCATCCCCTGGCTCTCCCTGCCCTCTGCCTTGCCATTCCTGGGAACATGCACTTTGCTTTGCTGACATCTTGTGGAGATCTAGATTTAGCTTAATTTACTGTAAAATACCCTGTTCCGAAGCAGTGGGTTTATCTGCAGCGTGGCACACGCAGGCAGGTCTGACCCAGCGTTTGTTCTCTGCTGAAATGCGCAGAGCAGTGGTGAGGTCAGCGCTATTTTGTGGCAAGCACAGAGCTTTTTGTTTCTAGCTGTTTTCCCAGGTTATTGCTAACAAACTATCTCAGATCAGGATGCGATTCCAGAGCTAAAGTCTTTGCATTTAACTTCTCTCAGTGAGCCACTGCCAGGCTGCCAGGACTTTGCCATCTCCCCTAACTCTAACTCTGTGATATTTGCAATAGAATTAACAAGAAACAGATATCTCTCGGGGTCTGCAAATGAGAACTGGGGCTGGAACCCAGCCACCGCGATCAGCGTGTGCCCAGCACAAACACAGCTGCTCACGGACAGCCCCAAACCTGCTCACGAGGGATGGGGCTCCCCGGGTCCCAGTTAAACCCAGCCACTGGAATCCAGGTCTCTCTGCCCTGCAGGTGAGTGTTGATGGCTGGGTCACACCAGCTCACAGCTCTGCCTCCCCCCTTCCCTTATTGTCGTGCCCTCAAAGCAGGAGCAGCTCGGAGGAAGAGGCACTGCAGGACAGTGCTGAATTAACGAATCTGGGCTCGTACACAAGCCTGCACCACCAAAAGTCTTTTCTTCCTTCATTGCACGCGGCACCGTATACTCGGAATTACTCCCTCCACACAGTTCCATTTGGTCGATACTTAAGCACCCACCCAGGCTGATTTACCTTGATAGCACAGTCCATTCTCCACACATTTATTCATGAAGCTCTTATAACTGCTGGCTGGAAATACATAAAATTCAAATCTAATGCTATCCTAGGTAAAAAAAAACCAACACACACAACCCACCAAAAACCCTCTCTACCTAAAGATGAGAATTTTATTCTGCTCTGAACAGTCAGCAAAGACTTAAATGCCTAAAAGAGACGGAATGATTTAAATTCAAACAAAACAAAAAAAAATTCCAAAGGTTATGTCAATGTTAACACGGGGAGATCAGTCCTTTGAAGGGCTCCACGAAGGCAGAATCCTGCTGTGAGCCTCTCAAGCCTGAGGCTGCGCTCCACTGGGAGACCCACGAGGTCTGGATGACGGCCAGGATGCTCCGTCACTGGAAAGAGCGAGCTTCTGCTGGGAGCCAGGGCTGCGAGGTGACACAAAGAGCGTTGGTCCCCATCCTGCGGCGGCAGCAGGACGGCGTGGTGTGGGAACTGGGCACAGGGCCAGCCACTGACAAAAGGAGTGAGCAAGCACTCTGCAGTAAATACAAACCCAGATATCTCAAGCTGCAAAGTGGAACTGCTTTCTTCGTCTTTTTGTGTGGCTCTTCTCCACCCATACAGCGTGTCCGTGGGGTGGCTGCAGACTCCAAGCAGGAGGCTTCACTCTGCCACCTCCTACCACCCATCATCTGCAGGATCCTTTCTGTACAAGTCTTATCTAGGCTGCAGGATTCGTGGTGCTCTATTTGTATCCAGTTTGCTCAGGTTTTGGCTCTCAGCAGAGGATTCACCCCCATCAGAAAGATCCTTAAGACCTTGATAAGACCTCAAACGTCACTTCAGCCTGTAACCAAGTCTTAGTGAAAGCCCTGAAAAGAAATCTCTGCTGTTCTCCAGCATTACCACAGAGTTTTCCCTTCTGTCCTCATCTCCTAGAATTAACCAACCTGCACTTTAAAATCCTTTGTTGGATGCAATGTACCCTTCTCACGCCGGGGAGCCCCATTTGGATTTCAGGCTTATTTGGGAGAGTCTGCTCTCCGATCCATGTGCTGTGGTTAAGCTCTCGCAGCATGGGCGGGTTTTTTTCCCACTGGCTGCTGGGCAGAGTGTGTGTTTTGCTGCCACACCCTTCATCCACAAGTGCAAAAGGCTCCAAAGGCACCCCAGGGGGTTCCCCTTCCTTATAATCTCTCTCACACATACGCACGGATTATCAGCATCAGAAGAGCTGAAGGCGTAAAGACCAAAAACATCCTCCAGAAATAAATTAACGTGCTGGAAGAAATGACTGCCTCCAGGAGCTAGAGATCTGCGTCTGTGACTCTGTTCAGAAACGCCACCACCACCTGAACAAGAGTAAAGAAGCGGAACAACAGCAGTGGTGATGCAGGTTAGCCATAGTGTTACGACCCATGTAGGGCTGGATACTGCAGTCGTTCAGCTGGAATTCCTGCCCAAGTCCATGGGTTCACATCGGAGTATATTAACTGGACAAGTACATCTGCATGGTATTCTGACCTCACAAACTCCAGGTGAAGGCTGAAATGCCTGTCACCTCTGTGTAATCCTGCTACTGTCCTGCAGCATCCCCTACAGCACACACGTGCACTCATGCACACGTGTTGTTCTGGCCACCCAGCCATGCTGTGGGTCTCTATTTCTCAGCTGTGATCTTCTCTCAGCATCCATCTCCCCATTTTCTGCTGGGGAAGATGCTCATCAGCACCTTTTGCTGTTTTTTTGCTCTATGGAAGGGAAAGGCTGAAAACAGCACTGGTAAGACCAAAGCTGGGAAGGTTACTGATGG